GCTGACGTGGACGGGGAGGAACGTAGGCGGAGCATGACCTAGCGCCGTGGGACATCAGCGCTGGATTCAGGTAAGTGACTGGAGGGACATCGGCGCTGGATTCAGGTAAGCGTAGGAGGGGTGACCACAGGATTCTACAGTGCCAGGAAAACATCTTTGTCTCAATCATTTCAATCCTCGAGGTAAGAGTGCCTCCAGTAACTTTTTGGCACCATAACAACTTCATTTAGATTAAGTTATTTTTGTGCCTGGAGTGTCCCTTTATGGAAATCTATATATCAGTTTGTGCCCCAAAGAATACACAGCCCAGAAATGCACCAAACAGAATTACAAGGGATAAGGATGCACCGAAATTAAAATTCTGGGCCGAAAACAAAAATCCAGGATGCCCTTGGCCGAAAACCGAAACCAAAAATTACCTTTTTTCTCAAAAATTTAACAAGTTTTTTTTCTTAAGATTTTAGTAATATTACACTTTTTAATGAATTTAATTAATCTAATATGAAAAACTTCCCTTCTCCCTTAGTGCCCCCCCGCTTAATGTTCCTCTCCCCTCCCTCTTTTTTAGTGTTCTTTCCCCCTCCTCCCCAGTCCCATAGTGTCCCTCCCCCTACCCTGTCCCATAGTGTTTTTTTCTCCCCCCTTGTCCCAAAGTGTTCTTATTCCCCTGTCCCATGTTGTTCTCCCCCCTCCCCTGTTCCATAATGTTCATTTCTCCCCTCCCCTGTCCCTTAGTGTTCGTTTCTCCCCTCCCCTGTCCCATAGTGTTCTTTTCTCCCTTCCCCTGTCCCATAGTGTTCTCCCCCCCTCCCCTGTCCCATGTGCAGTATTCTTGACTTTTCATGTTATCATCACTATCTTTCATTATGATATATAATCATCTGAATTGTTAATGCAAGCATGTCTGTTAAACTATGCATTCCCAAAAAAAAAACCATCTTGAAAAAAAAATATATATATATATATATATATATATATATATATATATATTTTTTTAAATTCGGCAAATTTGACTTGTGTTCGAGACGATAGGCGCATTTTTGTCCGAAAATTTCGGTGCATCCTTAGAGATTACATCCCTCTTATCTTTAGTGGATCCATTATTTTCAATCAATCAAGCGATTGACAAGGAAGCAGAGGTGGCAAATAGGAAATTGATCAGAGTTCTAGTCCAGTGGGAACTCTGCTCCCTTAATATATTTGCAGAGGGAGACAAGTTCCCAGGAATATTATATATACTACATGGATACAAATAAGCAAACACTAGTTTGGGGATATAAAATCCAGTGACATTTTGAAGTGGACTCCTAGGAATCTTGTGGTATGTATATCCAAATATTGTCTAGAACAGGGGCAAGCAACCTTCGACATTCCAGATGTTGTGGACTACATCTTCTATAATGCTGGCAAAGCATCATGGGAGATGAAGTCCACAACATCTGAAATGTGGGAGACGCCTGCCGCGACTTATAATTAGTAGAGGCTCATTAAGCTATTTTATGGCTCAATAACTAATCGAGAGTCTTGATGTCTATTTTTGATAATGAACTGATATTTAAAATGTTGTATCACTGTTTCAAAAGGTAATCAGAATAGAGTGTCGATTCAGATAGAAAAACAGATTTAAGTTCTATTTTGGAATATGCTTGAAAAAGAGACTTCTGTGGTTTTGTGGCGGTATTAATATAATGTCACGTGGTTAGCAGGAAGCAATTAGTTTGACAGGGACTGTCTGCTGGAAGAAACTGGTAGGAATATGGCTAACTAAAGTGGGGAATGAATTCAGTAACTTGTGGCTGAAACTATTTACTATCAAGTCTATTTCATGCAGAGGTCTGCAATTTAAGAAATATTTACCACTAACCAGATTCAGCGAGCCAGGACAGGCATCTTCTTGTACTACGCAAAGTGAGGACAAAATGTACAGAAAACATACATATTTTACAGCATGGTACCCATACTTTAATAACAGACAAGTATGTATCTGTTTAGCTATTATGTGTTTTAAATGGACTTCCATAACATAAGACAAGTCTCCTGTCCATTTTACTGAAAGCTGTTAGAAAACAGATTTTTGAAAAAGTAGATAACCGTAAAAGGAGACGCCTAGATTTTTTTTTACGGTCCCAGTGACTTGAAGTAAAGCCGGAGTCAAAATGTACAAATATTTATCAGACTAACTTAAATTTGTAAGAACTTCTATACTATCACCAATAAATGAGTGAGTTGATAATTGATTTGCACAAGTTAAAGGACCACTATAGGCATCCAGACCAATTCATCACAATAAATTGGTCCGTGTACAGTGGCCCTGTAGTTTTAGTCCTGTAATTAAAAATATTGCTGTTTTGTAGGTAGGACAGGGCAAAGCACACCTATAGTGCCTGTCCTCCTGAAAGCCACCAGTGAGTTCTTACATAGCTATAACCAAGTTCTTCAAGCAATGCTTTTCATAGTGAGCATCTGATTGCAGGCGTGTGGCATTTTGATCTTGTCCTACATACTTCTCTATGAGAAGCATTGGATTGGATGAGAAGATGGGAGTCGTAAGCATGCTCCCTGACAAAGAAGGAGGTGGCTGCAATGACGATGTCTCAGTGAGTAAAACAAATTACTGCTATATTTTGTGACAGAAAAGGGGGTGGATAGAGGTAACTGTAAGGATGGGAAACTTAAAGTCCCAAAAAAGAGACTATTATTTTCGGGAGTATAGGATTTCCTAAAGTCAAAATATCAGTGTGTTGGAAAAACTGTACACTTAGTCCAATGTGGAACATTGGCTGACGGCCTAAATTTTGCAAGTCTCTAGTCAATAGAGCCCTAAAGGCTAGATTACATTGGGTATATTGATAAATATATAGATTTTTAACATGTATAGCACAGTGAAGGTATTAACGGATCAATGTATTAGTTCATAAATGTAAAGGCTTGGCCTGCAGTTGTGGGAGGGGCATGTTACCCTATTTAAACCCCCCTACTCACCTTCCTCCGTCCCATACGTTTTTTAGCGACTCGCATGTCCCCACCCTCCACTCCCTCTATCTATACTTTCATTACACCTCATGGGTGGGCCCTCTTTTATTACAGGCCTACCACAACGTCGGTTCCAGCACACCTCAACCGACTTATTTCCCCTTTAATTCCTATATGGCCTTATTTTGCCCCTCACACAACCTCAGGTATGTCACAGAATGTACAATTATAGAACATTAAATAAAGATATAGACATGTATGCATTCAGCCGGTTAATTAACCTTTTTACTGCTTTGCAGTCTACGTTCACGAAATGTATTAAATAAGCAAGTTTGGTTCCCATAGTGTGACAAAGTGCCCTTCGCCACTTGTGCCTGGAGGGGACTACTGGCTAGCCTCCTGCCTTCTGACTATGGCCCCAGGGCTGATAGCTGTATTTCACCCTGCAGAAAGGTTTATTTGTGTATTTCTGCCGGGGCGTTCGGGACTTTTAGTACGGGAGTAGTGCTACCCCAGATAGCTATGCCATGACTTTGGCTCCATGGCGATTGAACTGTATGTATGTGATCTGAGCACCATTCGGTAATAATGTGCACTCAGATCTAAGCTATCTGGGGATATGTTGCATGTATATGTTTTATGTAGTAATTGTAACATTGTGTAATTTTATGTCTTTTTGTAACCATGTGGTTAATGGAGTCTTGCCTCTGTCCTGGGACATAATTTGATTACTTCCCAATTATCTCCAGGATAGAGAGGAGGGATTGTGATGTCACTGTGGGAGTGTTTTGTTTGTATTGTCTGTGATTGGCTAATATCCAATATGTGTCCCATTGTTCCATCAGGTCCCCTAGGGGAGTGTCCACCTGGTGGACACTTGCATAAATACCGGGCAGGTAGCCCTCAATAAACCAGACCTACTTGCACCTTTCTTGAAGCCTTGGCTCATGCTTGGGGGAAGGGATACCTACACTCTGAGGATTGCTATAATCACTTACTCCCCAGAGTAAGCTCTTGTAAGAGCTTGATTTGTTCTTTCTACGCTCTCAGGATTTAAGAGAGGTTCATCCTGGTCGTAGATCCAGGGTGGGTGAGAGACGGCGAGACCCCGGTGCAGCTGAGGTCCGCAGTGCTGATGGTGTCGGTTGGAGTGCTCAGAGAGCTCTTGTAAGAGCTTGATTTGTTCCTGCTACGCTCTCAGGATTTAAGAGAGGTTCATCCTGGTCGTAGATCCAGGGTGCGTGAGAGACGGCGAGACCCCGGTGCAGCTGAGGTCCGCAGTGCTGATGGTGTCGGTTGGAGTGCTCAGAGACCTCAGCAAGCGCTAGGAGCATCGATTGGCGGAGGTACTCGGTCGGAGTGCCAGCGGTCCGTCACACATAGATACATGACATTTTTTTATTTGGTAACCATACGCAATTATAATGATTGGTTTGCTAATTATTTAAAGACACAGTGGGAGACTAAATACTATATGAATAAATACAGTTTTTCACATGTATATCACATTTGTAAATATTTGTTAGGAGCATTTTTGGGAATGCAGTTTCGCATAAATGAATCATAATCCAGGTCGGCAAACGGTGCACACTGAGTGGGCGTGCCACCGCACTCCTGTGCCAGATCTCAGAAACGCAGCAACAAGCCTGGTGACTGTCACAGTGTGGCAATAGATGTGCACCCTACATTGGGTGAGTCCATCCAGAGCAGTGTGGATGAGGTTGACATGTGAGGACAGGACAATATGCCTTGTTCCCACCTTCTCAATTCACACTGTGCCTTACTCCACGCAGAGCGGAAACATTGTTGTGTAAGGATGTCACAGCCATGGACAGCCATGCTGCTTGGCCATGCTATGAGATATGTGGAGACATAATTTGGGCAATAGTGAGAGGTTCATGGAGATGGTAGAGGAACACATAATGCATGCAAGAAGGGAACACCCAGGAAAGCATGGAAAATGACACGTAAAGGGGGCATAGTGAGTGACCCACAAGGAGGAGGGAGGGAAGGAAACGAGAGGTGTGCACAAAGTGGGCATAGACAGTGAAAGGAAAGGGGGCATGGGGAAGGGTCCACAGAAGTAGTTATGGGAAGGGAAAGAGATGCACATGATGGAATGTAAAGGGAAATACATGGGTCACACTGTGCCCTCTGTTAGCTGAACTCTATTTGGAGTGATGAAAGGGCTAGGGTTGGCTGACGTTTAAACCACTTGTTGATATGGTGAGTACTCACTGTAAAGGACGAACATGCTGAACATAATCTTTATAATGTATTGAAAACTTAACACAGTTTGCACCTTTCCCACTTTATAATAAATAATAATGATGGGGTGTCACACCTAGGTTTTGCATGGGGCAGCTCAAGGCCAAGGCTTGTCCTGAGTGTGAAATCAGGTAACTCTATTGTATAGGTCATAGCACAGGGCATTGCAGGACTGAAGGTCTATAATGTGTGTAGATCCCATCCTCCCTGGCTGCGGTCGCTGTAGTACTTTGATTTTTGTGGATTTCAGTTTACAGTGTATAGAAGGATGGTAGTGGACTTTTATATTCTCTCAGTCCAAAAGAGACAGAAAAGTTATTTCATTTTGTTTTGCAACTCCAGGTTAAATCTAGCCTTAGTATAAATTACTTTTGGAGTGAAAGAATTAATAAGTACACATTTTATTAACAAATCTAAAATAAAATAAAAATAAAAACTTTTTAAAAAGTGTTTATTTCTGAACAAAAACACAGTCTCTCTAATACCTGGGAGAGGCATCATTTTGGTTTATGAGACAGAGATCTCTGTTTATTGGTGGATCTGGATTACAGGTCCTCTTTTGGTCATCTTTTTTTTACATTTTATGGTCATCTTTTTTTTACATTTTGAGCAATGATGCAAGTGAAGGATGTTATGAAGTGATGGTTAATGGTAATAAGTTGTAGAACCCTGAAAAAATAACACTAAAAAAGATCATGGAATACCAGGATGAAGGCAAAAAAAACTATTGGAAACTCATGAATTCTGGATTCTGCTGTGCAGTGATAGAATATGCAGGTCAGCGGTACGTGTATTCACATGATCAAGATGTGAAATCATCTAATTAATCATAGTAGTCCCTTTGGTATTGGTGTATTAATTCATTTCACACTAGGTTCAAAATGTCGACGAAAAATATGGAGATCTGGCAACCCTACCTGTAGCCGATCGTGAGAGGCCAGGATTTCATGTGTTAATCAAAGGGCTTACCGTTAATTTTAGTTGAGACGCAAATATTCAATCAGTTATAAGATTTGTTACAATTTATAGCAATGTGTCCTAATCACCATTTAACCTTCCTGTGCAGGTGCAGTGGGTATCTTCAGCTACGTATCAGAAACTGTCTATCCGGTATCTATCCCTCCCCCTAAAATATGTATTCAAATTCAGACGTGGTGGAAAACAAGAACACATTACTGCTCTATTATTATCTGCTAATTAGTACAGGGCTGGGCTGCATTAGTAAATCCTAACGGAGATATTAATATGCTTTGCAGTTATTTGCCTAGAAATGTCCCAGTTTCCCCCCAGGATTACAGCTGGCACCACGTGAGACAAACGAATAAGCTTTGCAATGGGACAACATCCACAATACAGCAAAAAGAATGAGGCTTACTGTGACTCGGGCCCTGCTGGAATCGACCAAAACTTGCCAATGTTGGGGCCTGCGGACAGCGTAAAAAAAAAAAAAAAATCAAATAAAAATGAGAAAATGAGCAATAAGTAATGATCGTAATGAAATACAAAACAACTTGAGAAAGAGCAAAACAACCGAACCCAATGTAGAACGGATCATTGGGAAGGTGGGGCGATGGGGGAGGGGGATGGGAACCGGGCCGATAGTCTGAGGCCGGATCACTCCTTGCTATTCGTAACTTTTGGCCTCTCCAGAACAGTTTCCTATTACTATACTTCCCCTGCAGATTTTTTCCCCTTTCTTTTGGCCGGGCAGTCTGTTGAATGCAAATGCTTGGAAAAGAAAGAGACAGGAGCGGCTGCCAGTTTCAAACTCCAAGTAATGGAATCGCATACAACCCCCACCCCCTCTCTGTACCAGCACCTTGTTTGGGATGCCAAATCCGACACCCACTGGCGGCAGCAGGATATCTCGCCCAAGTCAAACTGGGCACATGTTACAGTGAAGGCAATGTGAGCACAGCAAGCGTAGAGGATTCTGAATGTGCTATCTCAGCAAACCAGCAGCACTGCACAAAGATCTCTCTACTAATGTTTGTTCCCCTGAGTGGGGGGCAGCACACCCCTGCTGAAACATCCTTGACACCTCAAAGCAATGGATTCCCACCACTCACCGTGGCGGTCGCTCCCGTTTCCATCTGGCGATGACGCTTGCGAGCCACACTCGCAGCCTCCTGAGAGCGGCCGGGTTTGATTCTGATAATAGCTTCACTCTTTAACTCTAGAGGCTTTTTTTTTTTTTGTGAGTTCACAGTGTTCCACAGTGCAGAGATGGGAGGGGATGAGAAGGAAAATTACTGGAGACTATTACGATTCAACTTCCACTAACCAAGAGGAAATGTCTTATTAAACAAACAACCAACAACAACAAGAGACAGAGAGAAAAAAATACATATATACATAAAGGGTCCGTCTCATCTTGCCAGAGGAATTTCTTTTTTTGTGTTACTGTCTCCTTACGGAAAACTTTGCAAAGCAGAAATCTGTCCAGCATCTCTGGTTTATGCATGCGAGCAGTAAAGCTGCTTTTCACAGAGTGAATATTTATTTTTACATGCTGTCTCCCAGCCCAATAACAAAACAGTCCAAATTCAACAGATTGCCCCAGTTTCAGAATTCCACGCAGCGGCTGACCAGACAAACCTCTTAGCTACTCTTCATATAGACAGCAGGGGGAAGACTGCCGTCGTAGGGGTTCAGCAACTCTATCGAGAGACCCTCTCCCAAACTCGCCCAATCTGCTATCTAGACATGGTTTGTTCATAAACATTTTAATATTGCTGAAATCGAGCCAGCACGTCTGCTGGAGCCGTGGGGAGAAGGGACTATTTGTTCCCTTGGACATCCAGCTTTATATCCCCCCTCCGACGGCTGTGCTTTGCTTAGTGTAGTAAAGAAGATCACGTGACATTGATACACAACGGCAGATAGATGTTTCAGTATGGGCTCAGCACAAAATGGCAGCTTGCACGGCAAGTTTTAGGAATTCTTATAGTGTGACTTATTGTGTGGCTATTCCAAAAAATAGATTATTAGAAATCCATATTTCGCACATACACGTTGGCAAGCGTTTACTCAATGACAGCGTGCATTTCTATGGTTAGGTTAACACCAATTCCCACTACCGATTTTATATTATATGGGGTAGCAGAGGCCGGTTACACGGCCTGGCACAGATGGAACAAGACAAAATCCAAGACTGATCCACTTTTGGCAACTTCATTGGCCATTATTTATTTAATTTTTAATATTTTTTAACCAATTTTGACCTGACTATACAATTACTAATTAGAACTAAGCAACAGGATAAATTAACAGTCAAATGGAAAATAGTAAATTAATCACGTGGAAACCAGCAAGTGGCCTGATACATATATTAATTTCCTTCATTTAAAGGAACAGTGAAGCCAAATAATTATTATTTAATTTTATGGTCAAATGACAAAATATATGTGCTATTAATCTGACAAGTGTACTACATTCCTTTCCTGAGATATAAAATATGTATTTAACAATAGAGGACCATGATGGTCTGGGACTTTCTTCCTGTGCTAGAATAGTCTGATTTAATTGTGTCTAAATACCAAGTGATATAGCATATGCTTTATATTTCACATTAGGAATACAGGAGATTTTTCATACTAACAACATTTTAGAGACGCAGGATTTAGGCACATTAAATAATGTTTAAAAATTTTAAAAATCTGCGTATATAAAAATTGCATATGTCAATCATTGCACCAGATCTAGAGAAGTGAGTGGCTATTATTTACATATCCAGAGACTTCTTTGGCTATAAAATTAATAATAATAATAATAATAATAATGCAATACTCACATTTACACCTTATTATGGCACAATCTACACGAGATTCTAGATAACTATAAAGAGGCTGACAGACAGGCAGATTGATCATTCCATCCGATCAATGGACATACATATTACGTAAATGGAAATATTCCTTCTTACATAGGATATTGCACATAATGAATTAAAGCTTCAGTTTTCACAGTTCACTGTGCTGTGTCTCAGAAACGGCGAGGACGCATGGGTATAATATTGGGCCCCTCCTAGCCAAGGCACCCTGATGCATTTCACACAAACCTTTAACAAATGTCATTATTATGGCTATATCGTTTTTGTTTTTTTTATAAACGTAGGCTATTACAAGATATATAAAATGAGGAGCAGGCTAAACATACAAAATGCTATTACATTCTTCTTTACTACAGTGGGTCACAAGTCCAAAATATGGGGAATTATCAGTCTTGTTCCATTAGGCAACAAAACAATGTGAGATGCCCAAGAAGAATTATACAGATTATATATTTTTCCCATTTGCTAACTCGCTAGCTATCACGTGAAGACAGTGGTTGAATTTTCTTTATATAACCTACATTAATATATACAGAGTCAGTCCAATCTGCTATGTGCTAACCTGTTCCTTAGCAGGATTGTACAACAGACAAGTTGCCACTCATTGAGACTGGAACAAAGGCGATTTCGCTTACCGCAGAGGAAAGGTTTCCTTACAGAAAGAACAATAAAGATGTGGAATTCTCTGCCTTTTGGATCAACAGCATAATGGAATAGATTTTACAGGTTACCTATGTAACCTGTTGAGCTTCACTTGTATAGTTTGAATGACTTCTACTATGAGATGCCTTGGCTTTAAATGGACGTGTTATGTATATATAATCTGCCATATTGTGTTCTGAGTTACCAGTTTCCATAATTTTGTATAATTAATTTGCAAGTCCTTTGATATGTGTTTTTTATTCTATTGCACTGCACCTAAACAACAACAGAACAGCAACAACAGAAGAAAATGAAACAATTTCATAATATAAAATCGAATGCAAGCATTAGGGAGGTATAGTACAATGGTGCAATCAATCCATTAACAAAATGGTACATGGGCTTATTCACCAAATGGCCAATTGAATTGCAAACTAAATGCCTAAATCAGGCTACAATCACCAACCCGTGATGAAAGACGGAATGGAGAATATTTTAGACAAGGTTTTCTAATTCAGTTCATAATTCTCTGCTCATAGTTAAAATGTAAAAAAACCTTTAAAAAAAAATTTTTTTTAGAAAAATATATGTTTGTTTATGAATATAAAAGTATATTTATATTGATTTTAAAAGTAAACTATTTCTACATTCTATTTAATAATCCACTATCATTTATTATGTCGTTATGCTAAATATATTCCCTATAACTGTTAAGTGTATGTTTTCCATTAATTAAATGAGCATTAATAAAGATAAAAACATGCCTGATGTACATGCTTGTTTCAATTTCATCCCATCATCACACCTTTATTTACCTTTTGTAATCATCATTAAAATATATATATATTTAATATTTGGCTAGTAAGGCAAAGTCTCCCCTTTTTAGTATTTGAATTCCTCCCTGCCAAAGGACAATACGGTTTACGAGATTTTCACATGTTGAATTTATTTTCAAGTTACATATACTAAAATCTGTAAAAGATCTCTGCATCTACTTTATTATTGGATGTAATAATATCATTTTGTGACATTTCGTTACATTGTGCCACACAGACTGAGTTACATGCCATGGGCTATTGGTTAAATAATACAGCTCTGGGTGGGACTGTGGGCAAACATGGGAGATCAGACCCTAAGCTGTGTAAGGGACCCCAAAATGTGTGATTGCAGCCCGGCTCAAGCACACCAACATTATGAAACTCCTTAAGATAAAAAATAAGGGACAGCAAGAATTTCGATTGTCTCTCATAAATCAGGACACTCGGTTGGTATGCAGAACTTTCTCCTTCCCCTGGCACACTGGAATCTGAATGGCAGAATATATTGGAAAAACGCTTATTTGGAAATATACTCCAACTCAGCTATCCTAACTACATAAAAACAAAAATGTATATCCCTCTAGGCCAGGGCTCGACAAATCCCAGGTACCTGATCGCCACAGCGACTAGAAATTTCGGCCTGGCGCCTGGGATTTACCAGCTCTGCTGGGAATATTGGAGCCGTGAGCAGCATGGAGGCGGCCGGGAGCCCTGAGCAGCATGAAGGCGGCAGGAAGCAGTGAGCAGCATTGAGGTGGCCGGGAGCCGTGAGGAGGATGGAGGTGGCCGGGTGAGGCAGCATACAGCCGCCCGTCCGTCCGCGGGGGCATTGTAGGCGGCGTACGAGGGAGCAGTACTCTGCCTGCAGCTCCAATCTGCTCCCACGCGCTGTGTAATGATGCCGGGAGACGGAATATGACGTCACTCCGGCCCCGAATCATTACAGAGGGAACAAGGGAGCAGATTGGAGCTGCAGGCAAAGTACTGCTCCCTCACGCGCAGAAAGATAACAGCCCCACTGGAGCCCAGGGAAAGACCCACTCAGCTCTCCCAAAGGTAGGGAGGCTAAGTGAGGTTCAATGAAAATAAAAATGTAAGTGTGTGTGTGTGCTGTGTGCCAGTCAGAGTGTGTGTGTGGTGTGTGTGAGTCTGTCAGAGTGTGTGTGTCTGTCAGAGTGAGAGTGTATCTGTCAAAGGGTGTGTGTGTGTGTGTTTGTGGGTGTGTGAGAGCCTGTCAGAATGTGTGCGTGTGTGAGCCTGTCAGAGTGTGTGTGCCGTGTTTGTGAGTCTGTCAGAGTGTGTGTGTCTGTCAGAGTGAGAGTGTGTCTGTCAAAGGGTGTGTGTGTGTGTGTGTGTTTGTGGGTGTGTGAGAGCCTGTCAGAATGTGTGCGTGTGTGAGCCTGTCAGAGTGTGTGTGCCGTGTTTGTGAGTCTGTCAGAAGGTGTGTGCCTGACAGAGTGAATGTGAGTGTGTGTCTGCCAGAGTGAGTGTGTGTGAGCGAGCAAGCCTGTGTGTGAGTGTGTGTGAGCCTGTCAGAGTGAGTGTGTGTGAGTCTGTCAGTGTGCATGCAAGCCTGTTGTCACAGTGAGTGTGTGAGCCTGTCAGCGTGAGTGTGTATGAGCCTGTCAGAGTGTGTGCGCCTGTCAGTGTGTGTGCATTTAGGCACCTGCCTCCTCCGAGCGCATGAGGAAGGTGTTTTACTCACCTTTTTTCCCATGCCGTGCCAGTTTTGCCGTGGCTGGTCCCACCTCCATGGCTGAGATTATCAATCTTTATGATCTCAGCTAAGCCAAAGCTTTCCCTTAGAAAAGCATTGGGAGGATTTTGGGCATGCGCAGCAAATGTACCAATCCGCATCTTCTCATAGAAATTAATTAAATTAATGAATCTCTACGAGGAACATTCAGCGCCTCCATGCAGAGCTTGGAGACACTGAACCTGGGTGCTGCACGTGGTACAGCAGTGACCCAGGACTCCTAGTGGCAGTCGTAGTGACTGTCATTAGAGATGTTAGTAAGCAGCAATGTAAACACTGCCTTTTTGCTGAAAAGGCAGTGTTTACACTGAAATCCTGCAGGGACAGGCTATAGACACCAGGACCACTTCTGGTGACTATAGTGTCCCTTTAAAAATTGCGTTTTTCTCATTGAAAATGACTGACTCCTAATGTTTGTAGCTGGCTCCTAGATTCCAAAAAAATTTGTCAAGCCCTGCTCTAGGCGCCTACAAAAGAATGATTTTTACAATACTGGTCGCTACAACAGCAGTGTGGATACTCAACACAATATCAATGCAAAAAAACAAAACACCCAGGGGTTCACCACCAATGCGGAGGACTCAAAATCTAGTTACAAATGTTACCTTAATACCTTTAGTGTTCTACATAAGTTAGTTACTCAAATATTAAGAAAAATAAGCAATATTTGGTGCAATATGTCAAAAACATATTCCAGGAAAATGATATATTTCTCCACTCACTTGTGATAGAGCTTCACAAAGTAGCTCAGTTTAATTGTCCCATGCCTTTAAGGTAGCGCTCCAAACTTCTTGCATGTTGGAAGCAGCATCGACAAGCTGTTTTCACCATAACACAATGAACCCAGGGATTTGCTTAACAGATTCCTTTAAAGAGACACTGTAGGAACTATAACCATTTCATCTCATTAAAGTATTTATAGTACCAGGAGTCCTCTGTCACTGTACTTCTATTCAGTTTTAAACCATTTTGGAACAATGGCGTCTATAGGATTCATTTTTAGTGTGGGCACATGGAGGGGGGCAGTTATAAAACATGTATGTATGTGTGTGTGTTTGTGTATATACACACGCTCCCTTAATACCTCTGCAAACCGCAGTCTCAGACAGGTAGGTAATGTGTCACATCTTAGATTTAGCTGCACTGTACGTTCAGCTCACATCTACCCCATGGACTGAAGAATCCATGTCTTTTTTGCCGCCCTCTACCATCCATGTCTCTGTTTCCCTCCCTTTCATGTCTTTTCTCCCCCCTTTTTCCATGTCGTGGATGTCATTTGTATTTTATGCAGTGTGTGTATTGAATACATTGTGTGTGTGTGTGTGTAGTGGATGCAGTGTCTGTGTAGTGCATGTAGTGTTGGACAAGTGCTGGGGGGTGAGCCGTTTAAATTAAATAAGGCTTAATCCCTCTCCCTGCCTCTTACCTGTGGGCTGGAAGGGGAGGGACAGTGTGTAGGAAGGTGACAGTATAGGGGGCATTGTGTAGGAAAGTGACAGTAGGGGGTGCAGTGTATTAGAAGGTGGCAGTGTGGGGGGGGAGGGTGTAGGATGGCAACTGTGTGGGGAGCAGGGTGTGGGGATGACAGTGTCGATAGGCAGACTAACAGACAACATGCCCTCACTTATACACACTCACTGACAGTCACTGTCTCACACACTCTTTAACTAACACACATGTTCACTGACAGACACACACTGACACGAACACACTCTCGGAGACACATGCACACACTGACATACACACACACACATTCACTGACACACTTACTGACAGACACACACCTACTGGCACATACACACTGACAGTCACACACACATTTAATGACAAACACACAGACGTCACTGACAGACATACTCTCACTGATTTGACATACACACATTCACTGACAGACACACACATTCACTGACAGGCACACAGACACTCAATGACAAAGACAGACTCTCATTGATGTGACAGACACTCACAAATTCACTGACAGATACACACATTTACTGACAGACATACACACATTCTTTCACATACACTCACAAATTACTAATATTATTATTTTAGTTTGTTCACCCAGCCTCGCTACCTTTGGGAGAGCTGGAGTGGATCTGTACCTGGGGCTGCTATGAGGCGGGCGGCTGTGAGCACATCAGAGGTGGCGAGGGAGCTGTAATCCTCCTGCTCTGCTCCCTCTCTCCTACCCCTACCAACATTTCCCCTAACCTTGCTATCTCTACTCGCACCTTATACACCAGCAAAGATTTCAGCTCTGCATTGGTCCTCCAGGTCCACCGCTTGTTCCCTCAATCCTATTCCCTTACATCTCACTCATGCTCAGTCTCCTTCTTTTGCTCTGTCCCTCACTAAAATATTTAATCTTTCCCTCTGGCATATTTTCCTGACCCTTCAAGCATTCAACCATCTCCCCCATTCTAAAAAGGCCCAACCTTGATCCCAACTCCCCATCCAACTACCACCCTATCTCATTACTAGCATTTGCGTCCAAGATCCTTGAGAGAGTTGGGTTACGTTAGATTGATGGACTTCCATGAATCCAATGCGCTTGCTTGTGTCTCTGTCGAAACGGCTTCTTCTCGTCCTTCATAATCTTGTCCTGGTTCACCTCCTACCTTTCCCATCGCTCTTTCAGTGTTTCTTTTTATGGCTCTTGCTCTTCTCCGCAACCCCTCTCGGTCGGTGTTTACCAGGGTTCTATTCCTCATCTACTATTCTCGATCTATACTGCCTCCCTTGGTAAAATCATCAGCTCTTTTGGTTTCCAATATATACCTTCTATGTGGATGACATCCAAATCTATTTGTCCTCTCCTGATCTCTAAACGTCCCTTTTAACTTGTGTCTCTTACTGTCTCTCTGCTATTTCTACCTGGATGGCTGCTCGTTTTCTTTACCTTAACCTGTCTT